GACTATTGAATTATATATGCATTGTTTGTCCGGATATTGTATGCCATGAGTGGCACAGGATATTAGCATCGGTTGTTTAAAAGGCCACACATTTTATTTTAATGATAATCATAACAATAATTAGACATTTTTTCAGTGAAAAGAAACATTTTATATGAATTTCTTATTTGATATTTAGACCCATTTTATGGTATAATTTTTCTCTCTGTGTGTAACAAACTGTTAGGAAAAATATTAAATAAATGTTTGAGATTTCATTATAAATTCGGTCAAAATATAATCTATTGTTGAAAACCGTTTATAAATTGCATAAAAATTCAAAATCATAATTTTTTGCAAACAATTTATTTGAATTAACAGTGAATTCATTGGGATATTAGTGGCAATTATAATACAAGACTACTGGTCTCGATGGCACCGGTGGGCAGATCTGCTGAATCCGTACAGCATTGCGAAGACAACGCCGAAGTGGTCATCAAAAGTGATAACAACGATAATAACGTGAAAACAAATGCCAACAATGAATACAAGACACAAATTGTGTGGAAAAATGTACTCCTCATGGGTTCGCTACATATCGGCGCTCTCTATGGCGGCTATATTATGCTAACGGCCGCTAAATATCAAACAGTGTTCGCCTGGTTTCTCATGTATATGTGCTCAGGTATGTGTCTAGTTAATTTAAATTAATTAACCAACCATGGACAAAATTCAATAACACATGTATAATTAAACAACGGGTGACAGGACTGGGCATAACGGCGGGCGCCCACCGATTGTGGTCTCACCGGTCATACAGAGCCAACTTCGCGCTGCGGACGCTGTTGTGTATATTCAACACAATGGCCGTACAGAACAGTATCTACGAGTGGTGTCGCGACCATAGGGTTCATCACAAGTACTCGGAGACCGACGCCGACCCCCACAACGCCAACCGGGGCTTCTTCTTCGCACACGTGGGTTGGCTGCTGTGTCGCAAACATCCGGACGTCTCGTCCAAAGGCCGTAACGTCGACTTAACCGACTTAATGCACGACCCGTTGGTTCGCTTCCAACACCAACACTACCGGCTCTTGATATTGATTTTCTCTGTCGTTGTGCCCACACTTATACCGTACCTCTTCTGGGGAGAGTCGTTATACAATTCATTTTACATTTGCTTTATATTTAGATACTGTTATACACTTAACTGGTAATGAATTTAATTAATTAGTTTCTATTTTAATACTTTTTTTAATTGGTTTTAAATTAATTTTTGATTTTAATGTCAATTTATAATTATTCAGATATTATTTGAGTCATTAGTGAGAATAATAGCTTTTATTTGCTACTATAATTAATTTAATTACTACTATAATAAGTATATATTTATATCAATAGTACCTGGCTAATAAACTCGGCAGCTCACATATGGGGTAACAGGCCGTACGATACAACTATAAACCCCAGGTATTAAACTATTTTTCGCCTGATTTATGTTTATTATTTACTAATAAATAACTATATTTAAAAATGTCAATTAACTTTGAAAAGGGAGTCTAGTTTTGCCAATTACCAGACATTTGGTGAGGGATATCATAACTATCACCACACCTTTCCCTGGTATGTATTATTAAATATTATTTCCATAATTTATTCAATATTATAAATAGGTTTATAAATGAAAAACAAAATTTTATATACAAATTTTAATTTAAATTAAAATTTTGTATGTTTTGTATGACATAAACAGGGATTACTCGGCGTCTGAGTTGGACTGGAAATACAACTGGAATTTCACGACACTATTCATCGACTTTTTCGC